GGCAGTAGGATCGCTTGAGCCCAGGAGTGTGAGGTTGCTGTGAGCTAGGCTGACGCCACGGCACTCACTCTAGCCCGGGCAACAGAGTGAGACTGTCTCAAAAAAAAAAAAAAAAATCTCAACTTTGGTTGAGTTATATTGTCATCAAAAATACATTTATATTCCTTTCAAAGAAATGCGAACTGACCACCAAACATTTCTGTTAGAATTTTGAATATCTAAGTGATATATATTGGAGATGGTTCAAACGTTCCTTGGAGTATCAAGCTATAGGAATGCACAACACAATGACAGAAATAAGAAATGACTTCATTAATATGCAGGGCTTGGATGCCACAACTGGATTCCATCTCAAAACGCAGGCCGAATGCCCTGAGGCACTTCACCGTTGCCTGTCATGAATAAAAATAAACTCCATGAAGAAAGTTGCTCAGTATCAAACTGGAAAAATCTCTGAAATTATTTCATAGTCTTTAAACTGTTCTTCAAAGTATTAAGTAGTTTCTGGAAGAATTTTAGTCTCTTTAAACAGTAACTTTGCTGTTTTTGACAGCTGGAAAAAATAAGCTTCTGTGGTTACGATCTTTGGAATACAAAGCCCAAAATGGATTATTCTGAGTTGTCTTTGAAAGAGGGCAGTGCAAAGAGAAAATAAAGAGAAAATAAAGAGAAATAGAAAGAAAAAGAAAGCAAAAGAGAGAGAAAAAGAGGGAGGGAGGGAAGAAGGAAGGAAGGGAGGAAGGGAGGGAGGGAAGGATTATTAATAATAACTACGTTTATGGAAGTGATCTCAGATAGGCTTAATAATAAGATCCTTAGTCTAAACCTTCGCAAACATACAGCTTTATATGCTTCAGAATAAATAACAGAGGAAAATCACTGAAAAGCTTGAGATTCTCTCTCTCCCTCTCCTTTTTATTTTTTAAGAGGTTCAACCTCTTTGCAACCATCTCCCTGACAGCCTGAAGGTCTGTCCTCACGACGTTGACTGAGATCTGCTGCTGCCAGCCTAGCCTTCCGATTCAATCCAAATTCTCCTCTGAGGACTATCAAAGAAAGGGAGGGGGAAGAAAGCAAATTGAAACCTTAAACTGGCAGAGTACCGAACAGATGCCAAGTTGAAACTGCTAAAGGGAAGTTAAAAATCCCTCTCTCTTTCGGGGAGAAAAAGAGAACTTTATTCTTGAGAAGGTGGTGGAAGGGCCGTGCATGACTCCTAATGTCCGTTCAGTTTTTGCTTAAAAAGCCATATTGTTCATTTGGTTTTTGCTGCTCAGCATTCCCCAAAGGCCAACTAATGTGAGCAGGAAGCCATATTCTAAGAGCTGCTTGGGAATGTGTTTGAGTAGGAAGGGCTCTTACAACACAGCCTGAATTCTAGAAGCTAAATGAAACCCCCAGGTGTTCACACCTTCGGGTGTGATGGGAAGGCCGACAGAGCTGGTCACAGGGAGGGGAGCAATAACCAAGACAGTGAAATTCTTCTTCTAAACCTTCTCAAGCAAGACTGGCCTTTGTGTTAATAGAACAATTAATAGAGGAAGGAAAGCCCACTTTCCACGTAAAAGGATCTAAACTTTATGCAGAGTACAGACTGATGTTTCTTTGTCTTCGGGTTGAAAACCTTAGTGAAATACACAATAATGTCCCTAAGAAAAGGACATGGACCTTCCAGACACCACTTCTTTTAGTCCTAACCAATCTTGAAGCACGTATCAAGGTTCTGCCCTCTGCCAAACTCTGTGAATGTAGCTTTGGGGTAGAGGAGGACATGGCAATTCACACACTGTTAAACCACTGGAGGTCCTAGTCAGGCTTCTGAATTGAGAGCAGCACCAAGCAACACCTAAAGATGAGCACAGTGGACCCCTGACAATGGGCATGTCCCACAAACCTCCGTATTTGTGGTTGGGCAGCCCCTATCTTGTGCAGGCTCTTATCATTTTGCCTAATCTAACATCAAGTAACTTCATAGTGAATGCCCAGTAGACATTGTTGAGTGAGTGGTACCTCCTGCCTTCTGGGGGTAGTGTGGGGGGTGGTTTAGAGGATGGAAATGGAGTCACTGCCTGCTGTCAAATCCTGGCCCTAAACCTGCTAGTTCCATGACCCATGCTGGTGTCTCTAAGCTTCCGTTTTCTTACCTGTGAAATAAAGAAAATAATTATTCCTCTATCGTGAGGTTCTGATGTAATGAATAAATGAAATAACGCAAGTTATTATCTCATTTAGCACAATGCCTGGCGCTTTGTAAGCACCCCACTAAAATTAGCCTTCATAAATAATAATTTTTATTGCCTCTACTGTGAGCACCGTATCTCAGATAGCAAAGACACAGGACATTTATCAGTCAGGAAGTATTTGAGCACCTTCAGCGTTTTTGCTGTTCTTAGTCCATGTGTTCTGGATTCTTGCCATCTGCTAAGGGGAGAGCCAAGTTGATAACGGTGGATTCTGGAGTCTTCCTCTTTGATCCACGTTGCTTAACCCCCACTCTTGACCCTCCCTCCGTAGTTGGAAAGAGGAGATATTATGCAATAACCAAATATGCGAGGATTAGACACGAGTCGATACTGCTGATGAGAACTGAGCGATTCATTACCAGGTATCTTAGGTATTTTATCAAGCATAGGGCAATACTAAATGCACAGTTAAAATCACAGACCCCAGATTGTTCCGAACTTGTCTATGGCTGGTTAGCTCAGAGCAATGATGCTCAAACTTGCCCCAGAGCCACCTGGAGGGCTTGTTGAAACACAGACTGGTGAGCCTCAGCCCCCTCCCCAAAGTTTTTGATTCAGTACATCTGAAGCAGGTCTCCAGAATTTGCATTTCTAACAGGTTCTCAGGCGATGCTGAAGCTGCTGGTCCTGGAATCATACTTTTAGAACCATTAGCTCAGAGCATGGGGCTTAAGGAGTCAAAGACAACCCCACCCAGCCCCGTCACTGATGCTGCTGGCTATGGGAGGCACTGAAGGATGGGCAACAGAATGCTCAACTCCACTGGAGAATTCATGTCCCTACTGGGGGAAATACAGCAAAACACACAACAACCACCTAAATGTTATCAGTGGAGGCTACTAATGAGTCAGTTGTTCGTTCAGTTATGCATTCATTTAATATGTTCAACCATATCCTGTTTCCGGTGTTGGTATTTTCATTATCATGTATTTATCCCAGAGTGATATAATCCCAGGGTTTAGAACTTTTGTTGTTGTTATTTGGGGAGTGCAACACTTGGACATAATCGGACTTTGGTTAAAGATTGCATGGCAACCCGTACATCTCATGAGCAGTATATTTTTAGCTGGTCTTCCCTTTGCCTTGCTCCTCGTGTTTGCCCTGTGTCTGTGCTTGTGGTAGCTGAAAGGCCGTTGTCTGTTTGTTATTTTAGTCAGTGAAAGGGGATGGAGGGATCACCCACTCAGAAGAAATAAATGGGAAAGACTCCAGCTACCAAGTAAGTGGCCTTGAACTCAATTTGGTGGTGGGGTTAGCTGGCGTATTCTTTCTTCTTTCCAGCCTTGTTTTCTGTGCCATTCTCAGCCACAGCCACCTCATTGAACATCCCTGGATTAAGCACCTACTGTATTCCAAGCACTGTGCTGAGCTCTGCAGACACGAGCACAAACAAGCTAGAGTTCCTCAGCTGTTTCCTATCAAAGGTTTTCACACACGCTCCTCCCTCTTTTCCACGTGGAAAATTCCTTCTCCCCTTCACGTCTTGGCATAAATGTCACCTCCTCAAAGAGACCATCACTACATCTTGTTCTTTCATTTTACTTGTTACAAATTGTAGTAATTCATTTGTCTCCCCTACACCTTCCCACCTCTGCCCAGAACGTCTGTGCAGCAAAGAGTCTTTTCTATTTTGACGTCACATTGCATGGTGCCTGGCACGCAGTAGGAGCTGCTGCTTGAATAGATTAGTTAAAACCATGGGGTCACATAGTTCACTTACTTTGTTCTCTCTTCTAAAGAAACATAGCTATGACACGTTTATAACAAGACTGGCCTTTGTGTTAATAGAACAATTAATAGAGGAAGGAAAGCCCACTTTCCACGTAAAAGGATCTAAACTTTATGCAGAGTACAGACTGATGTTTCTTTGTCTTCGGGTTGAAAACCTTAGTGAAATACACAATAATGTCCCTAAGAAAAGGACATGGACCTTCAAAGAAATACATAGGCACGGATTTATAATTCGTCAGTATTAATAACACCTTGCACTTAAAAGTGCTTTGCTCCTCCAGACGATTTTCACATACATTATTTCATTCAATCCTCCTCGTGTCTCTTTCTTTGGACCATTAGTTTTATAAGAAAATCTTTGTTGGAATAATGTTCTGAGGCTTAGAGAAATACTGCGAGCTTCAATACTGGGCAAATTAAAGGCCCAGATAAGGTGACAGTCATGAAATAAGAGTTTTTTTGTTGATTACATTAGATCAAATAAGTCTAATAAAACCTGTTGAAATTTACTATCTGGAACGGAAAAGAGGGTCATTTATAATGATAATTACAAAACAAAAAACAAGAGAAAACAAGAGTCTCCTAGCCAAAGGTCTTGATCTCAAATTCTCCCCTGAGTATTAAAATATTAATACTGATTTGCTTTTGCTTTTCAGAAGCATCTATTTGAGCAGTTCCTCCATCAGTGACTTGCTTTCCTTCCTACCCTTAAAGGGGCTCTGTAGTCATTTGGCACTTTTCAGTTATTAGCATTAATAGTAATAACAATAGCAGCTTCCATTTATTTATCATGTGCTTATGACATGGCAGGCACTGCGCTAAGTACATCGCATGCACTATCTCATTTGTGCATATGGAACCCTGTGGAACAAATGCTCTCCCTGTGAGGACGAGGACGCCTCAAGAGTGTTACGTGATTTTCCCATAGCCCCAGGGCTGGTAAATGGTGGAGGCAGAATTCAAACTCAGGTGTTTGTTTAGTTGTCATTTTTGTTGATTCTAAAGCTCACTCTTATACCCACGTGCTATTGCTGGGTTTTGTGCTTCTGCAGCTGGTTTTCTTTGAAGGCGTAGAGGGAGGTAGAACAACCATAAGCTCCATTTTTATAATTCCCTTAGTAATGTTTTCTTTGGAAACATCGTTTTTATGTGTTGAGCTGTTACACTTACCTAAAATGCCAGCAAGGCAAAAGAGAAGAAAACGAATGCATGGCTCGCTTAGAAGTTTTCTGAGTATATTTGTCATTAAAATAAAAGTTAATTACTTGGCTGAGTAATTTTGTCTGACTAGTCCAATTCCATTGCAAGTGAGCATCATGATAAAACACAAAGTTCAGACTCATAACCTTTGTTGTTCCTGGAAATTTCTGGTAGATCCAGTTCCTTGAATTTGTTGTAATGAGGCTGATCTAGTAAACAATATTGCTGATATACTCACCCCATATTAAATTTTCATCCCAATTCTTTTTCTTTTAAATCTCAACTTTGGGCCGGGCGTGGTGGCTCACGCCTGTAATCCTAGCACTCTGGGAGGCCGAGGCGGGTGGATCGCTTGAGCTCAGGAGTTCGAGACCAGCCTGAGCAAGAGCGAGACCCCGTCTCTACTAAAAAGAGAAAGA